ACAAACAATTGAGATGTACTAATGGCAATTTGCCTCGTGCCTATGGTTTACCTAAGATCCATAAAGTAGGTTACCCTCTTCGTATCATAATTTCAACGTTGGGAAGTCCGGTTTATTACATTGCATCTTATTTAGGTGAGATTTTACAAAATGCAGTCAAGAAACCTCGATCTCACATTAAGGATAGTTGGTCCTTTGTTGAAATTATTAAAGATAAAAACATTGATGACGATCATGTCATGATTTCGTTGGACGTGACTTCGCTTTTTACCAACACACCGTGGGAATTAATAAAGGCAGCAATAGAAAACCGTTGGGATGATATCTCACAATTTACTTCATTTAACATTGCACAGTTTTTACATGCTATTGACACGGTCATACGCTCGACTAGTTTTGTTTTCGATGGAAAATTTTACGAGCAGGTTTTCGGTTCGCCAATGGGGTCTCCTTTGTCTCCAATTTTGTCTGATATGGTGATGGACGATTTGGAATCATATTGTTTGCGTCAATTGGATTTTGAACCCTTTTGTTATTTCAGATATGTTGATGACATTTTTTCAATTATTCCGAAATATAAAGTGGAGGATATGCTTACGATTTTTAATAGTTTTCACACTCGACTAAAGTTTACGTTTGAATTAGAGAACAATTGTTCCTTAAGTTTTTTAGACACAAGCGTTATGCGAGTTAATGGCAAATTGACGACTGACTGGTTCCGTAAGCCTACGTTTTCAGGCCGTTATATAAATTTTCTTTCGAACCATCCGATGCGTTATAAAATTAGTGTGATCACAAGTCTCGTGGACAGAGCTATTTTACTCGCTGACCCTATGTTTCACGAAAAAAACATCATCTTAGTCAAACGAATTCTTCGTAACAATTGTTACCCGTTAACAGTCATAAACAAAATTGTTAACAGGAGACTTAGGGCGATTAAATTTGGCGGTAATTTTGGTGCGTCTAATCGAGATAAATTTGATACACGAAATGTTATAGTGTTGCCGTATATTAGAGATTTGAGCGAAAATATTACTCGTTGCATAAACAAAAATGGAATCGGTGTAGTATATACCGTTCCAAAAAAATTAGACACTTTGATAAAAAGAGGAAAAGATAGTATTGATAACTTAAAAAGAACCGATGTCGTCTATAAGATCGAATGCGCGAATTGCGACTCTACATATATTGGACAAACAAAGCGACATTTAGAAACACGTATTAAGGAACATAAAAATAACATTAAAAAAGACACGACATCACACTCAGTTGTTAGTTTGCATCGGACTTGTAACGATCATGAGTTCCGTTGGGATTCTCCTGTGATTCTGCATCAAGAAAAACAAACGAGAAAAAGAGAAATAGCAGAAATGTTCTATATAAAAAACCAAAGAAAAAGCATTAATTTACAAAAAGATACGGAGAATTTCAGTGGGATTTATGATCGCGTTCTTGAAGCTATTTAATATATTATATGGTCATATGTTACATATTTATTTATTTATTTATTTATTTATCTATTTATTTGACTTTGTATTGACGGTTTAAAAATTGCGAAAGACACAGTACTTTGGTTTTATATTTCCTCAACGCGTAATGACTAAGTTTTCTACTAACAGTCAACATCTATTTATTTCGGGCTTACTTCTGTCAGTTATACATTGTTCATCAAAACAATGGTTAATTTTGTCGGGGGTTTGCTGTAAATATGATTTATTGTATTAATCTGGTATGTAAACATATATATTTTTGTAAATTTATAATTATTTGTATGATTAAGCGCATTAAGATTATATTTATATGTATATAATTGTTTATAGATTACTTGAAAAGGGCTGCAATGACAGCCGAAACGTTGTAAATTAAACTAATTATTTAAAATAAATTATTGCCAGTCTGGTCGACTTTAAAATTGGAGAAGAGATTTTCATTATTTATTACTGGCGACTCTTAAGGATTATCATTTATTTTATTTTTATATCCACCTATTTATTTATTTTTATTTATTTGACTTTATTATGACGATTTAAATTGCGAAAGACACATTTAGCTTCGTCTCTATTTTCTTAACGCTTAGTGACTAAGATTCTTGCGAACAGTTAACATCTATTTATTTTGTGCTTACTTCTGTCAGTCTTGCATTGTTCATCAAAACAATCGTTAACATTGTCGGTTGTTTGCATGGAAGTTGATTTACTGTTTTAAATTTGGTATGTAACACATTTTTGTTTTTAAATGTATAATTATTTGTTGCGAATAAGTGTATTAAATTATAATTATTTTGATGGAACTTTTTATAGATGTACTTGAAAAGGGCTGCAATGACAGCCGAAACGTTGTATTTCAAATAATTATTCATAATAAATTATCGCCAGTCTGGTCGACTTGAAACGTTGAGGAGTGGTTTTTTATTAATTATTACTGGCAACCTTAAGGATTATTATTTATTACAATGCAATATGTACTTAACAATACTTACCATTCCGCTATAAAGGCTACTCCGGCAAAAATTATGTTTGGCTTTGACCAACGTGGCCACAATGATAGCTCTCTAGGTTTACGCAAGCTCTCATCAATACTGACGTAAATCTGGAAAAAGATAGAGAAAATAGTAGAGAAAATGCATTGCGGGCAACTGAGGTAGTCAGAGAATATAATAAGATGTATCGGGACAATCATTCCAAAAAACCGACAGTGTATAACATAGGAGATTGTATTCTCGTTAGGGACGATCGAGGAAAAATAGGAATCAGTTCTAAGTTAAAACCGAATTATAAAGGGCCTTACCAGATTGCAAAGGTTCTAGGAAACCATCGGTACGTAGTGCAGGATATTCCGGGTTTCAATATAACCCAAAAACCTTTGAACACTATACTATCTTGCGATCGTATTAAACCATGGGTTAAGGCGCCGGAAAAACCTATAGAATAAGTGTTAATTAAATGTAAAATGATTGTAGTAAATATAAGTGAATGTATAGTTATAATAGTAGTAATGTAAAAAAGAGAAAGAATGTAATTCGATAACGTAGTCTAACGCAATGTACATATGATAGGCTAGCGATGTATTGTTCATCATTAAATATTGTTATCTGTAAACTTACTAATTTGTTTAAAATAAACTTCGAGGCGAAGTTCATATCAGGCTGGCCGAGCTGTAAGATATATGCGTGCGTCCGGCGGAACTCGTCATATTGCGTATTATACATCTTTCACAACTGTTTATTGCGTGCGCATCCGAGCAGGCGCAACACAGGAGCGTGACAGGAGTGGGGCACTGTTCGAAGACCCTGCTCCAAAAAGACCGGCGACTAACGGACTCTCTCTCTTTTAAGAAGCGCTATATATTTGTCGATAAGAAATATACGTGCGGGAGTCATTAGTTTGTACTTAGGAAATAAATTGATTAAGAACAAGAATCTTCTTTCAACTTCAGAAGTGGGATTCAGCTCAGGCTTCACAGAGATCCAGAAGCAGAGTTTGTACATCGTTTGTAGATCACTATTGTTCAAAATATTAAGAAAAATATAAGCGAAAAATAAGGTCATTTCGAGATATATCGTTCTGCTTAACGGTTCTTAGATTATTTTCGACATCACGCGCTCGAGGAAAAAAAACACGTGTTTTCTTCCAATGTTTTCGATACTCGGCCCGAGCGCCAGCGAATCGGAGTCGAGCACGTACGTGCCACGCGCTTTGTTTGTGATCTATCCGAAGACCTCGTTACCGAATTCAAAAGGTGACAGTCAGTCTGTCCAGAGAATTAGCGGAGCAAGGTGCTCCCTTATCCGCTTTCGAAAAGAATCCCGCGTTGGACTCTGTATTTTAATTGAACGAGAGCGTCGCGCGTGATATGAATCGCGAGTACATTTGTTAATTAATTACTCCGACCGGGTTTAATAAACTATTTAATAAATAGCTTGTGAAAAAAAAGAATCGTTTCTCTCGCTCATTATCCAACTGTTCCGTATCCACGAATCCGCAAAATAAAATAAATAACTTTTGTATGTGGAGAAAATGTACCGAAGGTTCTCGCACGTATAAAAATGGTCCTTCGAGCCGGATAATTAAACAATACGAACAGTGAAGTGCGCGTAAGAGATTGAGAACAGTATCGCGTTCGCTCTCAAAAATCAGGACAGACTCCGATTCGAGTCGTGAAGTCGACTAATCGTAACACAAGTTTTGTGTTGTATTCATGACTGCGTGAAGTAAGTACAGTGCGGTACAGTGAGACAAGATAGTAAAGTCTTGCGTTACGCTATTCTTTTCGTGCGCCGAAATTAAGTCAGCCGCGAGTTTATTACCGTCGGCGCCGCAGTTAAGCGCCCGGTCTTTTTTGTACAAAGTTAACGGAGACAATTAATCGCGTTTCAACGACAGATTGTTCGCGAAATTCGCTGCCGTCGGAATTGTAGAAAAGTGCCCGGCAAAATCAATTTAGTCTAATTAAAGACATTTTTTCGCTTCTCGCTTCGACGCGGAGTCGTTCGCGAGTGATTAGCCGTCGGCTCAGCTATCGTTCCCGGCATAATTTGTGCAGTCTGATTAAAAGACAGTTTGGTTTCGCGCTTCGACACGAAATCATTCGCGAAAGAGTTGCCGTCGGCAAAGGCGCTCGTCTGTCAACTCAGTGTATTCTTAACGAACAATCAGCATCGCCTTTTTCGACAGAACGTCGTTAGCGAACTCATTGCCGTCGGCGTCGCAGTACGCGCCCGGCATTTTCGTGTGGGACACACATTATACTATTCTCGCGCCTCGGTATTCTGCGTGAAGTTTCTGAGGACATAATTCTTTCGCGTCGATACAACATCGCTCGCGAGCCACCGTCGGCGTAGTTACTCGCACGGTGCGTTAATCAAGTGTTCGTCACGTTTCGACAAAAGGTGACACGTAAACTTCGTTCCGACGGCACAGCTACACGTGCCTAGGAAACCCTCGCGACAAGTATTGTGAATTCTCGTTCGCTAGTGAAATTCACAGTTATTTTTTGTGACAATGTCGGAGGCGAAAGATCTGCTGATCGCGCAGATAGACACGATCGCTCAGCTAAAGCGAGTGATCGTGAACTTTAAAAAATTGGCAAAGGCCAATGTGACGCTGCCAAGGACTCAAGGTCGACTGGACGAATTGACGTCCCTCTGAGCATCTTGCAGAGAACTCCACGTCAAGTTGCTGCAATCTACTACGCCCGAGAAAAAGAAGACTTTGGCATACTTCGTCGATGAGAAATTTTTGGTCGCTGAGGAAGCTTACTACGAGACGGCCGACGTCCTTCGTGATGCGATAAGTAGATTAACAGTTGTTACGCCGCCTCCGCTCGATCGAAGTACTGATTCCTCCTTTCGCGATAGTAATAATAATTTTCAGTTGCCGCGGATTTCGTTGCCGAAATTTTCGGGAAAATTTTCCGATTGGGAGAATTTTAAAAATACGTTCGAGTCTCTCGTTGCAAATAATTATGCACTTACTAATACTCAGAAGTTTCATTATCTAAAAACGAGTGTCATTGGAGACGCTGCGTTAGTAATCAATAATTTAAAAATTTCGGACGCGAATTATGATTCCGCGTGGCGACTCTTAGTCGACGAATACGACGACAAATTAACTTTGATTCATTCGCATTTACATGCTTTTATGAGCATACCTGTCATGAATCGCGAGAGCGTGGCAGAATTAAAAAAATTGCGCGACACAGTGGCTGCATCGCTTGCCGCGTTAAACAACATGCAAAGACCTGTAGATCATTGGGATGATCTCCTGGTGTATATAATATCACAAAAATTTAGTGCGAGAACACGCAGCGAGTGGAACTTGAGACGTTCCACTATGAATTCGATTCCGTCTTATAAAGACATTCACGATTTTCTCACAATGCGCATCCGCGGATTGTCGGATTTCACTGACATTTCAAAAGAGAGCGGCAATGTTAAATATGACAAGCAACGGTCGTCAGTTAATAATATCGCAGTTCTAAAATGTATTTGCTGTTCGGGAAATCACTTCATTTCAAAGTGCAAGGAATTTCGCCAAAAGTCAGCAGCGCAACGCATGGAAATTGCTCGTACAAATAAAATTTGTTTTAATTGTTTGAAATCGGGACACATGTCGCCGAAATGCATAAGCAAACAGCGATGCACCCAATGTCGTCGTCCACATCATACATTATTGCATTTCGCGAGTTATCAAGGGCCGGACGTCAATAAAAGTTCGACATCAGAAAAGGCGAGCGTATCGTCGAAATCAAAAACCGACTCTTCGTGCGTTTCCGATAACGCGGCCGTCGCTAACGTTCAAACGGTGAAACCGCCGGACGTCACGACTCCGACCGTGCTTCTCGCGACTGCGTGGGTTGACATTCACACTGCCGAAGGCAGATGTTTTAAAGTACGCGCCTTGCTAGATCAAGGATCGAATTTCAGCTTCATTTCGGAAGCATTAAGTCAAACTATTCGTACAAAAAAGGAAAGAACCGACTTGCAGATTAAAGGTTTCGGCGAAAAGTATACCGGCTCTGCAAAATCTCGCGTGTCATTGCGATTGACGCCCTGCTCAAAAGCGAATCCTGCGTTTCCTATGACAGCATATGTCTTTCAAAAAATTACCTCGTACGCTGCGTCACGGATTCAGCCTGTCGACTCATGGCCGCATTTACGAAGTCTTTCGCTCGCGGATCCGGATCCGTCGAGCCATCATCAAATTCATCTGCTTATCGGAGCAGACATCTACGGTTCACTGTTGAGGCGCGATTTGAGACAAGGTCCGCCCGGTACACCCACCGCTCAATTAACCGCGTTTGGTTGGATTCTCTCCGGCCCTACCGGAAGTAAAAAACGGGTCTCCGCGGAGACTGCCGTTTTAAATTTCGTTTTGGCTCACCGAGACGTAAATGCTCTTCTCCAGAAATTCTGGGAAGACGAAGAGATTTCGTCGACCACCCCCCTCACTGAAGAGGAAGATAAATGCGAACGACACTTCGTACAAACTCATTGTCGTTCTCACGACGGTCGATACATTGTTCGACTGCCGTTCAGGGGAGATCCGCCGATCGACATCGGGGATTCTCTGCCAATAGCGCGGTCTCTGTATAACCGTATGGAAAACCGATTAAAAAATCAATCCGATCTCTGCTCGCAATATAACGAATTCCTCGCGGAATACGAGTCACTCGGACATATGACTCAAGTCGATGAGTCAGAAAAGACGGAGAATTCGCCTGTCTACATCCCGCATCATCCAGTGGTGCGGGAAGATAGTCGCACCACGAAATTACGCGTCGTGTTCAACGCCTCGTGCAAGACTCGAAACGGCACGACGTTGAACGATCATTTATTCACCGGGCCGAAACTACAGCAAGATCTTCCTGCCGTCTTGTCTCGATGGCGAAAATGGCGATATGTGTATACGGCGGATATCGCAAAGATGTTCCGCCAAATTCGCGTGCATCCTCAAGACGTCGATTATCAAAGGATTCTTTGGCGTCCGACGGATGACACTTCGATAAAGCATTTTCGACTGCTTACAGTGACATACGGTATGGCTCCGGCTCCGTATCTCGCGATGCGCGTTTTAAAGCAATTGGCTCTCGACGACGGTGCTCATTACCCCGCGGCGGTTCCTATTTTAAATGAATCTATCTACGTCGACGACACGTTGTTTGGAGCAGACGATGTAAATTCATTAAAAGACACGCGTATTCAATTAATCGAATTAATGAGAGGAGGAGGCTTCCAGCTTCGAAAATGGGCGTCTAATACAAGCGAGCTTCTCGACGAACTCTCGCTCGATCAGCCGGAAGTCACTGATCATCTCGTATTACAAGACGAATCTTTAAAAGTCCTCGGACTCTCGTGGCTTCCTTCCGAAGATTCATTTCGTCTCGTCGTAAATTCAATAAACCCGATTGAGCCCACCAAACGATCAATTCTTTCATTCGTCGCGAAACTGTACGACCCGCTCGGTTGGGCCGCCCCGGTCGTAATTAAAGCTAAAATATTTTTACAAGAACTGTGGATGTTACATTGCGATTGGGACTCGCCCATACCCGACGAATTGAAACTTCGGTGGAGCAATTTTGTTTGGGAAACTCTCTGACGTTTGGATTCTCGCGTCTTATTCGCCTCCGCGAGTGACGCGTAGCGCGCCGGAAGAAGAGGCGCTACGAGAGGCCGTTAGTGCCTAGGACGAACGCTTGAAGCGCTAGCCTCTTCCTTCGTCGTCCCGCTAAGCCAAGTCGGCTTCTGTTCGCGATCCTCTCTTGAAAAAAAGAAACGTGATCGTTGCTTAGGAATCTTTGTTTTGGTCGATTCTCTACTGTCCGTTGAGACGCTTCTGTTCAGTAATAAAAAAAGTTTCCGTTCTGTTCAGACGTTAAGAAGAGATTGATTTGAATATATAATCTTTTTGGATAACTACGAGCTTGGACGCTTTGGAACATCTTAGATTAACCATGAGACGGGAAATATCCCTTGGTTTGGAGGACAAATTCCTTTGAGTTTGCCGGATGAGGAAAGAAAAAGAGCCGTTTGTATTCTTATTTAAAAGGATTAGGATTCGACAAGGTAACAAATCTTTAAAGACTGGCCTAGCCAGGATTCTTTCAAGACTGGCCTAGCCAGGATACTATTAAGACTGGCCTAGCCAGGTTTCTATTAAGACTGGCCTAGCCAGGATACTATCAAGACTGGCCTAGCCAGGATACTATCAAGACTGGCCTAGCCAGGATACTATCAAGACTGGCCTAGCCAGGATACTATCAAGACTGGCCTAGCCAAGATTCTATTAAGACTGGCCTAGCCAGGTTTCTATTAAGACTGGCCTAGCCAGGATTCTAAAGAAGTGGGCTTTTCCCTGTATTCATGATTTTACTAATTTGATTATGAATCTTAAGACTGGCCTAGCCAGGATACTAAAGTCATTTATATCTGTTTAACGTATTGAGTCTATTCGCTGCTACGATACTTTTTGTCTGATTTAACTTACTGAGTTTTTTTATTGCTGCGATACTTATGGTTGTTTAACGTACTAAGTTTATCTTTTTTATAAAATACTAACGTCACTTATGGTTGTTGAGCGCACAAAGATTATATGTTTGTAAGATACTAATGTCAATTATATTGATTGAACGTAATAAGTCTATATGCTTGAAAGATACCAAAGTCATATGTATCTGTTAAATTTACTAAGTCTATTTACTTCTCAAATATTAAAGTCATTTACATTTGAATTATCTTATTGAGTCTATATGTCTGAAATATACTACAGTCATTCACATTTGAGTTAATTTACTAAGTCTATTTACTTCTCAAATATTAAAGTCATTTACATTTGAATTATCTTATTGAGTCTATATGTCTGAAATATACTACAGTCATTCACATTCGAGTTACTTTACTGAGTCTATACGTTTCTAGAATATTAAAGTCATTTTTATTTGAGTTATTTTAATTGATTTATATGTGTTTAATACTTATGTTTGATTTGACGTCTTGATTTATATGTGTTTAATACTTATGTTTGATTTGATGTCTTGATTTATATGTTTAATACTTATGTTTGATTTGATGTCATGATTTATATGTGTCTAATCCTTATGTTTTATTTGACGTCATGAAATTATCATATCTTTAAGACATTTATGTTTGACTGATTTAAATGAATTTCTATATACCGTTCAGATATTTTGTTTTCTACATTTAACGGTGACTTATGATTTGGATATAATATCTATTATATTCCTTAAGCGTTAATATATATATATATACATGTGAAGATTTGATCATAATGAGTAAAGTAAATTGTATGCCTTTCTCACAATAAATTTCTGTTATTATATTTTATAAAAGTCCACCAACTCCCTAAGTATATCCGGAACAAATTTCGTATCGGATTTTAGTGAATTGACAAAAATCAAAATTCCGAGATGGACCGGTCAAACTCCAGATAATTTAACACTCGAAATTCACGGGTTTGCAGACGCGTCAACTCGGGCTTATGCCGCTGTAGTTTATTTGCGCGTCTTTCATTCGCTTTCCGACTATACGATCAGTTTGATCGCGGCTAAGACAAAGGTCGCCCCGGTAAAAACTGTTAGTATTCCGAGACTTGAATTAAATGCCGTCGTACTTTTAAGTCGACTTGTTAAATGGACAACAAATTCGCTTAATTTACGTCAAATTCAGATACATTGTTGGACGGATTCCACGATTGCGTTGGCGTGGATACGCCAGCATCCATCTAAGTGGACTACTTATGTAGCCAACCGTGTATCTGAAGTACAAAATAATCTACCGTCGGCTCGATGGAATTACGTATCGTCAAAAGAAAATCCTGCAGATTGTACGTCACGCGGTCTTTCCGCGTCCGAATTGCTTTCGCATCCACTATGGTGGACTGGACCACCCTGGCTCCAGAAGCATTCTACGTCATGGCCGATTCATGACGCCTCAGTTCCGCTATCTTCCGATGCAATTCACAAGATTGCAATTGAAACTCGACAATCTGCTGTCCTTCACGTAGAAAGTGTAGAAGAATGGGATTTAGTTTATAAATTCTCGAACTGGACGAAGCTCGTCCGCGTGACAGCTTACGTTCTTCGATTTGTTTCTTTGCTCAAGAAACCAAGAAAATTTTCTTGCGCCTCTCCGGCACTTAATGCTGACGAGCTTAATGATGCCGAGACGTTTTGGTTGAATTATGTTCAGAAGAGATCATTCGACTCTGAAATTGATTCTTTAAGAAAAGATAAAAGTATCTCAAAAAAGAGCTCCTTGAGAACTTTTAGTCCTTTCCTCGGGGAAGATGCATTGCTCCGTCTCGGCGGGCGGTTGAAGAATGCCGCTCTCGCCTATGATGAGCAACACCCCATCATTGTTCCACAGGGTCGAATAGCATCTCTGCTTATAGCTCATACACATAAAATTACTCTACATGGAGGAGTCCAATTAATGCTCCGCACTCTTCGCCAAAGATATTGGCTTTTAGGAAGTCGAAACGCTGTAAAACGCCATATCCGTCAGTGTATTGTTTGCACTCGTTATTCCGTTAAGCAATCAAATCAACTCATGAGTGATCTGCCTTCGCCTCGTGTTAATCAGTCTCCACCGTTCACTCACACGGGAGTTGATTACGCCGGTCCCTTCCTCATCACACCGTTCGTAGGAAGAGGACAGAAGGCGAGAAAAAATTGGGTAGTCTTGTTCATCTGTCTAGTAACCAAGGCTATTCATTTGGAGCTGGTTGAAGATTGTTCAAGTGCTGGATTTCTTTCCGCCTTTCGTAGGTTTGTTAGTCGCCGAGGTTTACCGAAAAGCCTTTATAGCGACAACGGTACGAATTTTCAGGGAGCGGACAAGGAAATGAAGAGCACATTCGAAGCTCTGATGAAAGACCCGGCATTGCACGACTGTCTTGCAAATGATCGCATTGAGTGGAAGTTTATTCCTTCTGCTGCTCCGCATTTTGGTGGATTGTGGGAAGCGGGCGTGAAAAGTTTCAAATCGCGTCTCAAGAGAGTAGCCGGGTCGCGTACCCTGTCACAGGCTGAATTCGCGACCCTCCTCTGTCAAATAGAGGCGTGTTTAAACTCACGACCTATCGCGGCGCTCAGCGACGACCCGAGCGATTTGTCCGCGCTCACACCGGGTCATTTTTTGATCGGCCGACCGATCATCGCGGTACCGGAGGAATCAGTACTCGCGATAAACGCTAATCGACTGCAGAGATGGCAACTAATCCAAGCGATGACAGAGCAACTTTGGCGAACATGGTCGCAAGATTATTTGCACTCTCTGCAACAGCGTCAAAAATGGACGGAAAAAACTTCATGTTTTCGCGTAGGCGAGTTAGCATTGTTAAAGAACCCTTTGCTCCCTCCGAGTAAATGGGAACTCGGACGAGTAACTCAGATTAAATCATTTTTTTACAATAATAATATATCATTACAATTATAATAATACAAAACATTTATTATACGCTGTAGAATTTCTACGGAAAATAATTTTATGAAAATACAACGGGAAACCACAAAGTATACACAAGGAAATTGAATTGAGAAATCCAGTCTAATTATTTACGCCAAGTAATGTTTTTGACACAATCCAAATGTATGACTCAACTGTGTAAGTTATATATTAATTTCATTTTTAAAAATGCTAGTAATATTTTTTCTATCATTATCTAATTGGAAACTAAAGTTTCTCTCATTTTCGGTAATAACTGATTCAAAATTATATTGTGGCAGATCAAAAGCCATTGTTAACAATTTTAAAATATTCTTTAGATTTAGCGTCATTTTAAAATGTCCAAATTTTCCATCTATAAGCGGAGAATTCAAAGCGGAGAAATAAAAAAAATCAATTCGATACTATTCGAAGCAGTCACGCGTGTTTGTACTTACATTTATACGCAAAACAAATGAATTATATATATATATATATATAACAAATAAATTTATATGTGAGAAAGTACAGTAGTGGGGATGCTGCGTAGTTTTTTGCTCAACCTGAATATGGCAACAAATGAATTATTTCTTACGTATTACGTTTTAAAGTAAATGATAATTGTAATTTCGGTAATAATTTACCAGATTCCATTTCTAAACTCTTTTGATTTTCCAATTCCTCACCTATCATTTGATAATATTGAGCAAATACATTAATTTTCCGCATTATACTTTCAAGATTTTGTACAATTTCCAAATCTAAATGTGAATTTAGATTAAATCGATGATCAATCGCTTCATTAGAATCTACAATAAAAAGTTGGCCATAAGTAGGACTTTCATTTTTGTACAATTTCCAAATCTAAATGTGAATTTAGATTAAATCGATGATCAATCGCTTCATTAGAATCTACAATAAAAAGTTGGCCATAAGTAGGACTTTCATTTTTGTACAATTTCCAAATCTAAATGTGAATTTAGATTAAATCGATGATCAATCGCTTCATTAGAATCTACAATAAAAAGTTGGCCATAAGTAGGACTTTCATTTTGTTCAGGATATAATGCTGTATTAATTTGATAGTAAATTTGCCCCTGTATCTTGAAACAATATGGACCAGGTCGTCTATCTTGAAAGTTAATTAAATTTGCGTTAAATGATGCAAACGAAAATGAACTGTTATAACTACGAATATGTTGAAAAAAATTATTAGATTTTACATGAGTTCCATCAAATAAAGAATTAAGAAATTGAGGAAATTTAGGCAATAATTGCAAATACACAGCGCCATGATTACAACAATCATGAAATAAAGTTCTTTTATTAAACATTTTTTTAGACGCAAAATGTTTTGCATTACAGTGAATACAAGACACAGAATACAGTCCATAAGTCCAATATAATATTCAACGGCGTTATTAATTGACATTGTATTATCATTGTATTATCATTATTTAGATGAGGTTGCTTTTTTTGTCGCGATCGATAACGAGATTGACGTTCTACAAAAGATTGTTGACATACTGATTTATATTTTTAAAGTTTTGTCCAATTATTTCTTCATCTAATTCTATTATTACATAATTATCATGTGATGTACCAGCAATACAAATAGTATGATTTTTATTATTAACTGATTTTGGTATTTTATTTGCTACTTTCATAATTTGATTACGTCGATATTAATTTTCTGCTTTTCTTTCAGAACGTCGTCGTTGAATTTTCTCTTCTTCTTCTATATAGTGCACTGTATTTTACGTTTCGGCATTTTACAAAAATAAATATATATCAATAAATATGTTAATTAATAAATATATGTATATTTATATAAATATACAAATATAGTCAGTCAAGTAAGAGCGTGGTCGGGTAAATTTATGAAAAAACTTATTAAATGGTATTTTTATATTTATATATATATTGTACTGAATATAAACAATGATGCAATTATATTAATAATGTGTCCAGTCACCATCGGCGTCGATAATTGCCTGGCATCTCCGAGGCATGCTTTCAACTAATTTAATTGCATATTCTAGGGGCAACGATCTCCAGATACGACGAATCCTATTTGTGGAAGTTGACCAGGCTCGCGTGGGGGCACAACGTGCCCATATAGAACATTCATCGGTAAAAATTACATTATCAAAATCTCTATCGATATTCTCATGCGCCCAAGCGAGTCGATTCGTAACATGTTTTTCAGTCAACAAAGGCTTCTTCATTGTGGGGCGAAATTTCAGGTTATGAGCACGGAGATGAGTTCGGATAGTTTCGTGCGATATATCTAAACCTTTCGACTTTAATTTTGCCTGTCCTTGTCGCAGTGTTAAAGAAGGATTTCGCAAAACCAGATTCACTATTTTTTTTTCGTCTTTTTTGTTCACTTTGCCTATTGAGCCACGTTCTGGTAAATCATCGACATTTTTTGCCACTTTATATCGCTGTATCCACTTCTGTACAAATGTTTTCGACTTTCTCATGTATTTAGCAGCCGCTGATTGTGACATTTTTGGACCTTTCGGATGGGTACACAGGAACACACCTCGTAGCGCGACGCGTACTTAGCACTCATGACGCTTATCGTGTTTCTCTTTCAAAGAATCAAAGACAACTGAATATTTTTTGACAATGCATCAAGGGCAAAACTTCCCTTTATAGTCTCACGAAGGATTTAGAGCGAAATCCTTTATTACCTGTCAATAAAATCGACCACGCTCTTACTTGACTGACTAATATATATCGAACACAGATTAATAATTATGTGCTACTTTATTCATCTCATTAATCTATACATAAAAGTATTAAAATAAGATTACCAAAAGATGAATGTTTTAGAAAATATTTTGTATTTTTTATATCGAAATAAATGAACTTTATAAAAAATATAATAGAAATAATATTTTAATGTTTCGAAAACGTCTCGAAGTCAGCTATAAAACTACGTAATAAAAAATTGAAATTTCCATTAAAAAATTAAATTTAATCTTGATTTAATCTTTTTTAAATTTTTTCTTTCTTTAATTTTTATTTAATCTTTAATCTTTTTTTAATAAAATATAAAGTTTGCAAGATATTCGACCGTTTCTAGATTTTTGGTATCTTGTACAGAAAAATTTTTTAACAAAATACAGTCAATTATATCCTTTATATACACACATATTTATATAAGTTAATTTACATACAGGCTGTTTATAAAGTCTATCTCTACCCTTTATATTTCAAAAAATTGTAAAATAACAAATAATCATGAAACGTATTCGATTACTTGAAGAAAAAGACTACAGCGTATTGTACTCTCGTCGACGACGCGTCCAACAATACGCTTTCGCGTATTTCTGTAAATGACACTCTCTACGTCCTTGTTTATTTTCATTATATTGCATAGAAGAACATAAAAAAGAAAATTTTTGGGCAAGTTAAAAATTAATACATTTATTTATTCAGAAATTATTTGAAGTCAAAATTCTAAGGCTAATTAAAAAAAAATAGTTATTTGCGTTTAGAAATCTTAAAAATAACGTTAAAAAAAAATGCTTATCTTTTTATAACAAAAAATCAAATTTAATCTTAAATCTCTTAGATTAAAAAAAGCATCCAAAAAATGATTAAATTCACAGGACAATTTTTAATATTTAATAGAATACAAATAAAAGAAACAAAAGATTTTTTTAATATAACCGTGTACTTTTTAGTAAAATTTGCACCAAGAGCATCTAAAAAAGAAGACTTTTAACGTTTGTCATTATTAGAAAAAAAATGTTCCTTTATTAATAATTTTAAGTATAATTATTTTTGATAGTGATAATTATAAAATCTTCATATATTTGGCTTTTTCATATATTGTTAAGATTTCATATAAATTCTCATTTTATTACCATTCCAAAAAATTAAAATTAAACTTATATATGAAAAGCAATTTTTTTAAAATAATATATACATATATTAAGTTTCTTTTTTTCAAACACTTATAATATTAAAAAACTTTTTGAAGTACAAAATCATATTAAAAAACTCCCTCAGCTTTTCAAAAATAAGCTCTTGATAAATATATGATTTTCTTAAATTAAATATTTTATGGAAAGTTTTCACGACCTAAAAAAAATTCAAGTTTAAATCTATTATATTTAAAAAAAAATATAAAAAGACAAATATTTTTCAATAAGAACGTAGATATTTGAGAATCGCCAGACAGAATTTAAAAAAGGTAAAATTCTTCTCTCGACCGTACTGGCAAATATTATTTATTCAATCACAACGTTTCGAAAAATATTTTTCAACTTAAACGTTTTTTTAAATATTTTTCAAATATATAAAAGTAATAATTTTATTTTAAAAATTGTTTTTTTTTCTAGAATTTTAACATCAAATATAATTTGAACAGATCAACATATTAATATAATTTGAACAGATCAACATATTAACCTGCAACTTGCAGGGAAAAAATTCTTTTTTTATATCGTAAAACAATATACATGATGAAAATGTTATTTAAAATTTTTGAGTTAGATTTCTCTTGAAACACTCTTTCTTAAAAAAGACAAATTAAAAAAATTTTCCCAAAATAATTAAACATACATTTCATGATTTTTTATAATTTTGAATCGTTAAAAAAATATAGAAAAAGAAGACAGACTTTATAGACAACTTATATATGTCGACATTATATGTATACAAAATAAAGCATTTAATTTGCCATCTGAATAACTTATAAATTATATGTTGTATAAAGTATTATTAGATATACATTACAACACTAATCACAAGAATACGAATCATTCAGAGCATATATATATTATATATATATATATATATTTGTTCCTAAGAGTCCGGTACGTTTTTCATCATATCCGTGTTGGTTTACGGAGGAACTGATAGATCTCATAAAGGCAGAAAAAGCTGCTCACCACCGCTATAAAAAGTCTAATCAGCTTTCAGACTACACAGAGTTCTCCGCGTTGCGAGCACAGTGTAAAGTGCTTACATCTGAATGTCTTGCGAATTACACTCGGAAAGCGGAGTTTGAGATTGTTAATAATCCAAGGTCATTTTGGAAATTTGTTAAATCCACGGTGACGCCAAATAGTATACCGACAGTTATACACCAAGATGGTGAATATTTGGATGATTGTGTGGATATTGCGAACTGCTTTGCGGGTTTCTTTGAGTCAGTGTATACGGTCTCCGATGGTCAGGAGCGAGAAATATCATATGAATATGATTTTTGTCTCTCGGGTCTCGATATTGCAATAAGTGAAGTTTTTAATGGCATAAAAGCAATTAGGGGGGATACATGCCCGGGCGTGGATGGGATACCACCGTTGTTTCTGAAAGCGTGCAATTTTGTTATGTCCAGAGTTCTATGGCTTATATTTAACAAATCTTTGGCGGACGGTAGGTTTCCAGGTGTATGGAAACTGTCGACTGTCACGCCGGTGGCAAAGGGGTGTGATAGATCCGTGGTTACCAATTATAGACCTATAAGTAAGCAAAATATTATGCCGAAAATATTTAAAAATATAGTGACTGGTAAACTTGCATTGTTGTTGAGGAACGTGATCGTAGATCAACAACACGGGTTTGTTGCAGGGAGATCAGTAATGACGAATTTGCTGTTGTATCACGATTTTTTGAGCACTACAGTTGAGAGTGGCTCACAGGTGGATGCCGTCTACACTAACTTCAGAAAAGCGTTCGACAGTGTTGACCATACGCTGTTGCTTTGTAAACCGCGCGCGCTTGGCATTGGGGGTCCGTTGTTGAAATGGTTAGTGAGTTTTGTAACAGATAGGCAATTGCAGGTTAAATATAAGAACTGTTTCTCGAGAGAATTTAAAGCATCGTCGGGGGTTCCGCAAGGTTCGCATTTGGGACCACTACTATTTAATTTATTTATAAACGATATTGCTAAAGTCTTTGAGCATAGTTCGTTCTTGCTCTATGCGGATGACTTAAAGATTTTTCGAAAAATCGATGACTGTGAGGATGCAGCACTGTTACAACAGGATTTCCTGCGTTTGAACCAGTGGTGTAAAGATAATAAATTGTACTTTAATCTATCCAAGTGTCAGGTGATAAATTTCGGTAGAAAGAGAGCCGTCATTAAAAATAATTACAAAATAGAAGCAAGTGAATTGACGACGGTTGAGTCAATCCGTGACCTGGGTGTTATTTTTTCCGCTGATTTGTCTTTCGAGAAGCACGTAAACTTATGTACGAGTCGTGCTTACAAGACGCTTGGATTTATAATGAGAGCATGTAAATATTTTGTAAATATTAACACGGTGCGGCTATTGTTTTGTGCGCTGGTTCGGCCGAAGCTGGAATATGCATCGGTTCTGTGGGCTCCATATCAGCAAAATCTTTGTGTCCGGATTGAAAGAGTCCAACACAGACCGTCCGATGTCTTACTCTGATCATACATATGATATCATTCTTAATAAAGTTAGATTAATTACATTAGAAGATAGAAGAATTTTTATGGATTTAATGTTCCTATATAAATTAATTAATGGGCGAAGAATTTGTCCGGAGTTACTGGCCAGGATCAACTTGCATGTTCCAGCTAGGTCTCTAGGAAATAACGCGATTTTCCATGAGGAATGTCACCGGACGTTATACGGTAAAAATAAACCGCTAAATAGATTGTGTATGTTAGCAAATTTATATGCGAATCGGTGCGATTTCTTTCATTCTTCTGAACATGAGTTTAGGCGTTCTGTATTGGCGTGCATCAGCCGACAGGTTGAGGTAGCAGTCAAATAGAATTTTCAAATATTTGGATGCGTGCATGCGTTTGATTTCTTATCGTAATCTTGGCCTTAATCTTGATCTTGCTCTTAGTCTTAATCTTTCCGTATAAGTTTAATTTATATTTTTTTGTTTTGTTTTATTTCTACTAATCTTTATATATTTCTATATGTTATTGTATTTTTCTTTTTTTTTCTTTTTACTTCTTTTTATAAACTATTGTTTGTACTAGAGGGAATTTTTTCGTTTACATGAATAAATAAATAAATAAATAAATATATATATATATATATATATATATATATATATCATTAAATGTGTTTTTATATTAAAAAAGAGAATTTTTATTTTTATATTTATTTAATTATCATAACGATTACTGCGCACTGAAGAAGACCTAGTACAGGTCGAAACGTTTGGTTTTGTCAAATTAAAAAAAATTTTTTTCTAAGAATTAATAAAAATTTTTTGTGCTCGTTACACAGGGCCTAATAATATTTAATAATTTATCATTGTGTTTGTTTACATACGAGCTTAAGCACTGTTAGAGTTTAGTTGATTTTGTATGGTAATTGTTATTGTATATTAAAAAAATTTATATGTTTAGACATTTTATTTTTATATTATTATATATAATAGACGTTATATTTATTGTATTGTGTTGTAAACATTTAAAAACATATTTAGTAATAAATATAAGTTATTAAAATAATTATATATATAGTAAATAAAAAAATATATAAATATGTAATCAACAGCTATATATATATATATATATATATATATATATATATATATATATATAATATATATATATATATATATATATATAAATGTATGTATGTATGTATGTATGTATGTGTATATATAAGCAGGATGTCTTGCAACGTGATATCCACAGTGAAATTTTGTATTCTTGAGATCATTCAAAAAATAAAGATAATTTTAAAATTTGCAAGATTTTCTCCATCTATAAATTTTTTGCGATATTCTAATGACACCTCCTTTATTCTTATGCAATATTTATGTGGTTCAATTTTTATAAATTTTTTTTTACATAAATTAATATATATATATATATATATTTATATTTTTTTCAAAAGTAACAATTTCTGAAAAATAAAGCAGTCTCTTGCTTATTTTAAATAGTTGTTAATAGTAGAATTATAGTAATAATAAAATAATTTATTATAGTAATAATAAATAGTAGTGTTACAATAGTACAATAGTAGTAATAATTGTTATAAAGTTACAGTAGTAACAAAAAAAAGATATTTTATATCAGAGACGATTTATTCGTCTGCTAATTGCTTTAAAAATATTTTCTCCCAGAACGATTTGCATGTGCGTTCTGGAAGATATTTTATGCCAGACTTATTTATTCGTAAACTGCTTCTTTACATCAGATACGGTTTATGTACCCTCTGCTTAGTATAAAAATAAAACATTTATATTGAAACTTTATTGTATAATATAATATAGTTTGAATAAGATATAGATTTATAAACAAGAGACTGCATTTATTTTTCAAAAATCTTCTTTTGATAATTATATAATAACTGATACATTCAATTTTTTAAACAATATTTTAACATTATTCTTTTTTGCAGGCGACGGATGCTGAAGCTAAAGAGACAAGAGGAAAATGACTCCAGGTATAGCACATTTAAGGATACTAACAATGAATCCATCGATAATCAGAAATCGGCGAAATTACTATCCGATACAATGGATTCGAAAGTTAGTATCCAATCGTTAGTACCCGTGATGCAATGCCTGGAGTCAAATTCAAATACAGATACGTGTAGTAAAAATGTCGAACTTTGCGAAGATAACAATCATTTTGTTATCGAGAATAGCTCTCTGGATATAAATAACATTCAGGAAAGCATGCCTCAAGGGCGTCGCATTGTCGACTTTTTTCATATGTGGAATGAACTTCAGAGATCATTCAATAATCATATGAAAGAAATAGAGTGCCAATTTAAAGATTGAAAACTCATAAAAACTAAAACCAAAGGCCAAGAGGAAAATGATTCTAGGAATAGCACATATAAGAATACTAACAATGAATCCATCGATTTTTAAAAATCGGTGGAATTATTCTCTGATACGATGGACTCAAAAGTTAGTATTCAAAAAGTGCAATGCTTAGAGTCAATTTCAAAAACAGATGTGTAATGAAAATGACGAACTTTGCGAAAATAACAATCATTTTGTTATCGAGAATAGCTCTTTGGATATAAATCATATCCAGGAAAGCATGCCTCAAGGGCGTCGCATTGTCAATTTTTCTCATATGTGGAATGAACTCCAGAGATCATTCAATAATCATATAAAAGAAATAGAATGCCAATTTAAAGATTGGAAAGTCATAAAAACTAAAACCGAAGGCCAAGAGAAAAATTACTCTAGGAATAGCACATATAAGAATACTAGCAATGAATCCATCAATTTTCAAAAATCGGTCGAATCGGATTCCGATACAATAGATTCTAAAGTTAGTACTTAAAAAGTGCAATGCCTGGAGTCAATTTCTGAAACAGATATTTGTAATGAAGATGTCGAACTTTTCGAAGATAATTATTTTGTTATCGAGAATGGCCTTCTGGATATAAATCGTATCCAGGAAAGCTTGCCTGAAGGCCGTCGCATTGTCGACTTTTCTCATGTATGGAAAGAACTCCAGAGATTATTCAATAATCATATGAAAGGAATAGAGTGCCAATTTAAAGATTGGAAACTCATAAAAACTAAAACCGAAAAGTTTAAGACGCATTTTACTTTCAAGTGCCAAATGTGCAATACCGAATTCTGGTCAGAACCCAAAGATCCAAAAATATTAAGCATTGATATGGCTGCTGCAGTAGGAACTATTACAGTAGGAATTGGCTATACCCAATTGGAAGAGCTGTGTGCAGCTATGAATATTTAATGTATGTCCGATAAAAGTTATATTCAAAATCGAGATATGTTAGTAGACGAGTTTGAGAAAACAGCCATGGAAAATATGAAAATGGCTGGCCAAACTGAAAAGCAACTGGCTTTCGAAAGGAACGATGTTATAAACGGTATTCCGTACATAACTGTAATAGCTGATGGTAGTTGGAGTAAAAGATCGTATGGCCACGCCTACGATTCTCTTTCCGGTGTTGGTACTTTAATTGGTTACCACACGAAAAAAGTTCTTTTTGTCGGTATCCGCAATAAATATTGCACGATATGCGATGTAGCGGAACAAAACGGAATCGAACCAAAAATCCATAAATGCTATAAAAATTTCGATCGTAACGCAAGCTCCACAAGTATGGAGAGCGACGCCATTGCAGAAGGCTTTAAAAGTAGCCTGGAAATGCATGAATTAATTTTTAGAACAGTTATTGCCGATGGCGATAGCAGCGTCTATCAGGCCATTATTGGTAGCAGACCATATCGGGAAAAAATGGTGAACGTGAAAAAAATAGAATGCACCAATCATTTGCTTTGCAATCTATGCAAAAAGCTGCAGGTGGTAGCAGGGACAACTCAACCAAAAATGCATAGAAAGCACGATTTCGTCCAGCTACGAAATATTGTAAAGAACAATATTATGAACATACGAACAGAAGAGATAGAAGCAATTAATTTACGAAATAAACAAGAGCAACCTCACCATGATAAAGCTAGAAAAAGATATATTAAACATTCCTAGTCATATATTTGGTGAACATAAATGATGTAAAGAACGCGGTCGTATATGTGACCTTGATGAAACAAAGAAAAATTATGTACCGTTTCTCAAGTTACACGATCTTTACCATAAAATAGAGAAGGCTATCATATATTTAAGCGCTTATTCCGACGGTTTGTTGTACAAATACACCAACAATCCTGTAGAGTTGTTCAATTCGATAATCTGCAAAGAAATTGCTGGTAAGCGCATTAATTTTAATAACCGAGGCTCTTACAATACTAGAGTTGCGGGGGCAGTTTTGCAACATAATTAGAAACAAGGTCTTACGGAAATGCATAAAAGCATGGATAAAAATGTTCCCCTTACTGTCAAGATTCTGGAAAAGCGACGACAAATTAAAGTTGCAAGAACTAGAGAATCTCGGAAAATGAATGAACGGCAAAAATGTAAAAGGAAGTCAGAAACAGATTGTCATTACGGTCCGCAATCACAAAAACCTGATCTTCTACCCGAGGTTTTTGAACAACTTCGACAAAATCATTTGGAAAAGTTGTTTGAAAATGGGAAAAATTGGAGACAAATTGAACGTAATACAATAGAGCAAAGTAATTCAGATTTGTGGCATTAACTGAGACAGGAACTGTTGACGGCGTCTAATTTTGGAATTGTATGTCGCATGAGACCGACAATTTTTTGCGCCGCAACCGTAAAAAACATTTTATTTCTTCTTTCTATCGATACTGCGGCTATGAAATATGGTCGCGAAATGGAAAAAATTGCGAGAAAAGAATTGGTCGTAACATTAAAGAAGATAAAATTTTGCGGATTATTTATTGATATTAAAAATCCGTGTTTGGGTGTTTCTCCAGACGGACTCATAGATGAAGATGGTCTGGTAGAAATAAAATGTCCTTTATCAGCTGAGCATTTAACAAGCCATAAAAATATTGCCCCATTTGAAAGGCATCTTTGATAAGAAAAATCCAGATAAAATGAATCAAAATCACCGATTTTTCTATCAAATTCAAAGCCAGTTAAATATAACACAGCGAGGTTATTATATTTTCGCTGTGTGGACGCCAAAAAGCTTGAAAACAGTACGTGTTAATAGGAACACTGTATTTTGGAGTAATCAAATGCTGCCTTTTTTAACACGTTTCTATTACGATTGCATGCTTCCGGAAATCTTGGACAATCGGCATAATCGACATATGCCAATTAGAAATCCAAGCTACATAGTAGAAGCTCAACAAGAAGTAGCTAAAAAAAGAAAACGAACGAGTCTTCCACAATGTAATGTAAAAGATAAAAATATTGCCAAAGAAAAAGAAATGTATCGAATCAAATATTTCATCAATGGAAACAACTATAACTGCTTTGAATGCAGAACAAGATGATTGCATCGTAGTTAGTTCTTTTGATTCAGTAAAGGAAAATGTATTACCTTTAGATAGTCAAATAAATGACAAATCATTGGACCAATTTTTGCGCGTCATAAGAGAGAATTCTTGTTTTGAGATACAAAGTGTGCAATATTTGGAATATCCTCGTATAATTGAAGCAAGTTGTAACGACAAAAACTTACAAATTATTGGAGGAAATTGCAGTAATCACTGGCGATGTATTTCTTTTGATGGCACCAAGCTTCGAGTGTACGACAGTCTATCTGGCTGTACATACGAAACATTGAAGGCTAAAGAAAAAAATTACATTCATCGCCGTTATCCACAAATAAATAAAAATAATATAATATTTGAAAAGGTTCAAACACAACCTGATGGTATATGTTGTGGAATCTTTGCTGCCGCATTTGCTACAACTATAGCTTTAGGAGGAAATCCCTGTAATGAGACATATTCTACTGATGTTAAACGTATGAGACAACATTTCTTTAAAATTATAGCAAAAAATAAACTGTTGCCTTTTCCTAACTAATAAAAATTTATTATTATATTAGAAATGTGTAATTCTAATAAATATTGTTGCAAAAAAGTGTCTAATACAAATGTCTCATTTGCAAAAATCGGAGAGACAAAAAAAATACATACATGTATATTATGGTTGCGTTCTTACGGGAATGGGTGATGGAAGGGCCCATTTCATTCTATATATGCATAAAAATGTTTTGTATATTATATAATATTCTGTTATATTATATAAAAATATACAGCTGGTTGTTTAAATATATTTGCTATTTTCTCAAATATTGATAAGAGGAAAAAAGCGAATTGTGCGTACTGCATACATTGTAATTTATAGAAAATTACAGGTAATATCAATATACGTACCATACACGTATGCTTATACCATACACGTATGTGTATACATGTATGTGTATATGTATTTGTATATATGTATGCATCTATGTATGCATTTTGTTTGAGATGTTAAGTAAAATTTTTGTAAATTCTAGAATTTTCCATCCGCGTCAATAATAAAAGTCACGGTCTTTTTTGTATGTTTGTCACGGAAAAAAGTTGTCATAAATTAAACCTGTCATCTCATAAACATTCTTTGCACACAAACAATTAACGGTATCACAACCGTTTCGCCGAATAATTATTTTCAGTGAGCATGCGCGGCTTACCACGGGCGCCTCTTTTCACCAATAATTATCGCGATCGCCCGCGCGCGCATGCTTTCTGCCAGCCGTCTTCCGTTAATTTTGACAGCGGCCAATAATGAGCTGTGCCCTCGAGTCACCTCGAGCACACTTAAAATTGCTCGCAATAATTGGCGCTTCCCGAAAAAGTGGGTTTTCTTCGGAAACCCATAAAAGAGAGCTCGCACCCGAAATCCGGGTCTTATCGCTTTCCGCAGTGACCGCATAACGCAACCGCATATTATTTTGATCCGCTAAAATCTCGTTGACGACCGCCGCTTATTCCGCACTTTGTTCTCGATTAGATTTTCACTGAAATATTTAATGTTATAAGTCTTGTTCAAGTATTTTGTAATTAAGTGTGTATTGAAATTAAACTTTTTTAATACAAAAGAAAGGGTGACTTATCCTATTGTGTCGCGCGATCCTCTCTCACGCAGCGCGTTCGCGAACACATTTATATATGTAAAAAATATATACATATATATACATGTATATAGATGCATATATCCATGCATAAACATATATATAATATGTACATGGTGATTCAAAAGTCTGGCAATGACCAATTATCTCCGAAAGTAGTGGTCTTATGAAAAAAATACTAAAGGTGTTGACTTTTACTTAGGTGTCAAATTTTGAGATCATTTATAGGTCAACTTAATTTTTTAAATTGAAATCCTTTATTTTTTATTAGATATTCTTGTAGCTTATCTCGACAGCTTTCCAAAGCATTATAATAAAACATTTTTTTATGAAGTACTTTTTGAATTATAAAGATTCGAAGCAATTGTTTGACATAAAATTATATCTTTGTAAAATATTCAGTTTTACGTTATCATACTTTTTATTTTTATGCACAAAATAATGAGACCAATTAATTGGTGTAAAGAAAATGCACCCAACAAACATAAAATATAACTGCTATGTTACATGTATATAACGTGCATGTTACATGTAACATATACGGTAATTTCTCACTCATAGATGTAACATTTGTAATATGACATATGTTATTTATACATATATTGTAATTACATCCCAGATAGCATCGATATTGTAGGATGCCGGAAGATAATCTTTCGCTAAGTCACTATCCTATCTGGGATATAATTACAATAAATAATAGAACATATGTTATATTACAAATGTTACATTCATAAGTGGGAAATTACAACTAACGTGTTTGTTACATGTTACATGCACGTTAATTACGTGTTATATAGCAATTATAATGTTGTTTGCTGGGCAGTTGCTTCTTGAAAATTACATACGTCTTTTGCAACTGTGTTTTCTTTGCATCTATTGATTGGTCTCATTATTCCCTGCATAAAAAGTATAAATGTATAACGAAAATTGAATGTTTTACAAGATATTGTCAATTTTATAAAATAATTGTTCACTTCAAACCTTTATAACTCAATAAGTACACCAAAAAATATTTTATTAGTGTTTTAGAAAATTCTCGAGATAAGCTACAAGAATATCTAATAAAAATAGGGGGTTTCGTTTAACAAAAGTTAACCTTGAAATGACCCTTACGTCAAAGTCAAGGTCACCATAAAATATCTTATTTTCCCTAGAAACAATTTATATATAACAATATAAAATTGTATAGAAAATAAAATTATACATATAATTGCAAAATTATATATGAAAT